ATTATCCCGTGCCTGACAAACAGTGAGGCACGGCAGGTTAGCTTCTTCTATTCAAGAAAATAATGCCTCTAATCCCTCCCTTTCAACCAGCCTTGATACAGAAGTAGAAAAAAGAATAGCATTCACTTAACATATGCAGTGCTGAAGGATCTCTCTTCAAAGACCCTCTGCTTGGACTTGAAAGGGTCCTAGGAATCTTGAATGAAATCATAACATATGCATTTAGAGCTATCTGTTTCATACTCTTGTATTTTTCTTACAAGGAAATCAACCATGACTGTTCTTTAGAAGGACAGATACTGAAGATGAAGCTCAAATACTTTGGCCACCTAATGAGAAGGAGGGAGTCATTCGAGAAGACCCTGATGATGGGAACGATTGAAGGCAAAAGGAGAAGGGGATGGCAAAGGTTACGGTGGCTGGATGGGGTCTCTGGGGCAGTGGGTATGGGGCTGGGTGATCTCTGGGAGGATGGTGGAGGACAGGAGAGCCTGCAGGAATGTTCTCCATGGGGTCACGAAGAGTTGGACACAACTTTGCGACTAAGTAACAACAACAGTTTTTTTCTTACATTCTCTCTTCCCTTTTGTCTTCTGCCTTCAAACTTTCCCTAAATGATTGTTTTCTTCAGTGAGTCTTCCCTTCTAATGATGTTTCTAAAGTATGGCAGCCTCAATTTTTTCATTTTTGCTTCTAGGGAAAGCTCTGACTGGGTTTGATCGAGGACCTTCTTGCTTGTCTTTCGCTTGGTCCAGGGTAATTGCAAAGCATTTCTCCAGCACCATGTTGTGAATGCATCCATTTTCTTGCTGTCAGCTTTCTTTACTGCCCAGCTTTCACACCCATACATTGTGAATACAGTACAATATTGTGGGTGAGCTTCATGTTGGTCTCTATTGAAAGGACCCTACACTTGATGATCTTTTCTAGTTCCATCATTGCTGCCCTTCCAGATTTCTTGGATGCAGTTGTTGCTGTTTTCTGCCAATAGTATGGTATCATTTGCATATCTTAAATTAGTGATGTTTCTTCCAACAATCTTTACTCCTTTCTCTGATTCTAATTCAGCTTTCCTTATGATCTGTCCTGTGTACAAGTTGAATATATGGGGGGATAAAACACACCCTTGTCTGATGCCTTTACATATAGAAAACCATTCTGTTTCTCTGCATTCTGTCCTAACTGTAGCTTCTTGTCCATGATAAAGGTTATGCAGTAGGACAACCATGTGCTGAGGCTCACCTATTCTTTCAGGACCTTCCATAGCTTCTCATGATCCACACAGTGAAAGGCTTTACTGTAGTCTATAAAGCATAGGTCGATCTTTTTCTGAAATTCTTTGGTGTGCTCCTGTAGCTGATGTATATTTGCAATATGATTTCTACTGCCTTTTCCTTTTTGGAATCCAGCTTGGACATCTAGCGTTTCTCACTCCATACAGGGTAATACTCTTTGTTGCAAAACTTTGAATATCACTTTACTTGTGTGAAAAAATAATGCAATGGTCCCATGGTTGCTGCACTCTTTTGCATCTTCTTGGGGATTGCACTGTTGAATTGAGATGCAAGTGGACCATCATTTGTCAGGGATGCTTTAACTTGTGGTCCTGCAAAGAGTAGGGAGTTGGACTTGTTGACCTTATAGGCTCTTCACAACTCTACTTTTCTGTGATTTTCTGCAATTTGGAACAGTTGCTTTGGTATCCTATCTACTCCAGGTGCTTTATTCTTTGCAAGTGCTTTCAGAGCAGATTTAACTTCACTTTCTAATATTGCAGCTCTTCTGTATAGGTTTCTGCTTCAAAGAAGTCTATTATCCTTTAATCTCTTCTCTGTATTTTCCATATATTATTTCCCCTTTCTCTTTATTTTCACCTGGTCAGATAGTATGTTCCCTTGTTTGTCTTTCAGCATTCCTAATCTAGGTTTGAATTTTCCTTTGATTTTTTGAATCTTCTGGAAGAAGTATCTTGTTTCTCCCCTTCTGTTGTTCTCTTCTATTTCTTTGCACTGATTATTGTAATAATTATTTTTGTTTCTATGTCATAAGTAATTGAACAGTGTGGACACCTTCTTCGGTGTCTTACTACCAGAATTTACTTATTTATGTAGCACGGACACAAGGACCCATAGTGAAAAAATAGCAAGCCACTGCAGGTCATTGCTCGGCAAGTAGCTGAAGATCACTTCCAAGCAAGGAAGCTGGATAAAATTGGGGGGTGGCTGTAAGTGACCCAACAATGTTCAGGATTCTGATCCTATTTCTTTCACCATGCAGAAATAACTGAGCAATACCTGATGCAAAGGAAAAAAGGAACTTCAGCATGGGCAGTGGTAGGTGATTTATAGCTACATATAGCATATGATGTGCAACTTTCCCTGCATTTCCCTTGATACTTAGAGTCACATCCCATGACATTCAGAAGCATACAGAATAGCAGAAAGTCTCGGGATTTTGACAGCACTAATGCAGTAGAGTGTTACGTTCAAGCTTCACACAAACTCTAGCAAAGCCTTATGGCAAGAGAGAGAAACAAAGCTTAAGAGTGATAACAGGAAGAAACCAGGTGCACACAGTAACCGTAAGAATGTTATATTGGATATTTTCTGACATCACTACCAACACTGACAACATCACAAGATTTGTCAGGAAAGGAAAATATTCTCCTTTATCTTGATCTCTTTTACCATGCTGCATATTTTTAAAATATGGTAGTGAACAGGTCTATCAGTTCTGGTAGATCTCATGATTGAGCTATGACAAGGTGTGGGTACCATGTTTACATAACCTATGAGAAATTTGTACAGCAGGCCAATAGTAATGTTGTCTTTTAATGGGTAGACCATTGTCCAGGCAATGTCTTTTTACCAAGGGGAAATCTTTAGTTCTTTCCTTAATCCCATTCTTCTCTTCATATCAACGTCACGGTCCTCCTGTCTGTTGCATTTTCCTTAGAAAAAAATCCAGCACAGCTGAAGACTGGATAACAACACTGGAACACTGTCATTCAATATAATTTTTGCTTCCATTAGCAAAATTGCTGTAATACACTTTTGTTGCAGGGCTGGTATAACTTACATTGTCTCAGCCATAGCCTTGCCTCCTGAAATATGAGTGTAATAATAATGGACTTTATGGGCAGGGTATTTTTTTTTAAATTAGAAGACTCAAGTAGGTGAACTTTTAAAAATTAAGACCTGAATCTTTGCTTTTATCATTTGTTTTTGGGTAGACTATTGGTTTTTTACAGCTATGCTAAAATCCTCAATGTCTGAACTTTTTTAAAAAAATAAGTCAACAATCAATTCCCACTAGGAAAGACAAAGGGTTTTTGTGTGTATGTATATGCGCGCTAAAAATTAACTAGGAGGTTTCTTCTCCGAACAATGCATGTGTTAAACATTGCTATGACTTCATTAACTAAAAATACTGAAAAACAGGAGATGAAATGAAATGAATGGACAGAGTGATGGCTGAACAGTTTGTTTCATATCTTGGGTTGTACAAGAACTAGAGATGCGGTCTTATAAGCAATTCTGGCTTATCTGCGTGGTACAACTGCCCTGCCACCACCCTTGACTAATTTGCCAGCACCTATCAATTTAGCCAGTGATTTCAAAAAGACGTTAATGTGCATGGGAGACAAGAATATAAGAAGTGTGCTGGATAAGACGAAGGACTTGTCTAGAATTTTTTTCTCCCCACAGTGGCCATGGTACCTAATGCCTCTGGGGATCCCACAAACAGGTCATGAGCACAATTGTACTGTTGAAAATATTTTCCCCAGCAAGTGATGCTGCCTTTGATTTGGATGTAATATATAGCTATCATAACTTGTTGATGGACCCCTGCAGAACCCCATAGGACAATTTCAAAAAAAATAAAAATTACCACCCAGTATTGAAAGTTACCTAGAAATTTAAAAAACTCGGCAAGGTTATAGGGTGCCCATCAGGTTCTCTCAGTACAGTACAGGAAAGTCAAGGCAGTCTGTCTTGAAACCAAATCTGAAGCTAGACTGAAATCTATCCATTTCATTCAAAAACATCAGGAACGGGTTTGCTATTTCATGCTTTAACACCTTGTCTAGTCATGGTTAATGAACCAATGGGCATATAAGCCTTAATATGGGGATTAGAGAGGGGCTTCTGTAATAAGATTACGTCTTGAGGGACAGTTAATCTTTCACAACACAGTACGTTAAAGATAGGACAGAATTGGAACACCTTCTTTGTCAAGCCTTCAGAAGTCAAGATAGACAGGGTCCAGCAGAGGTGTTGGAGCATCTGTGCCCTCTAATAGATGTATAGATAAGGAATTTTGGCAGCTTGCCATGTTAGCAGGCTATAGCAGTGAGGGAAAAAATCCCTCTCCTGCTCTGTTCTTACAGTTGCTCCATTTATAGCACATCTCAGTCTTCTAGGGAATGTATGTACACATTTGAAGATAGCAGTTTATAGACTGGATCCAGACTAACAGCACAGTCATATGCATGGCTGCTCAGAAGTAGGACAGTTCAGTAAGCCTTACTCTAAAGTAGGAGGCCTGGTCCTCTTGTTTCAAACCATCTAGAGTTGTGAGGTTAGCTTTTAATTAGTTTTATGTTTATATTGTATTTCAATTGTCCTGTTTGTTTTGTGAGCTGCCCCCAGAACCTGTATTATAGGACAATCATACAAATTTATTAAATAAGTAAATAATTAATAACTGTTAGTAGAATTGTAGCCTAAATTGGCTAATTTAGGTCCTGTTGAAATTGATGGGAAAGCTGAGTATAGGCTAAGTCCCACTTAGGATTCAATTAGGACTAAGTGCAACTAACTTAGTTTGGATCCAGTCCTATGTATTTTTGTTCTTTCTTCCTTTCACCTCCTTCCAAGAGAAACCATCTTTTGATCAAATGTCCCCAAAATACAGAAACAATTATTTATATGTAATTAATGATAGTTCCCTGTGACAAAAAATGATTCCATCCCATCAGCATTTTGTTTTTCTTGCAGGCTTATATTTGGCACTCTTTATCCTGCATACTACTCTTACAAAGCTGTAAAATCAAAGGATATTAAAGAATATGTAAGTAGCACTTCTGGGAGTATCCTGTGGCAACAGCCATAGGATCTTTAAGGTAAACCTAGGTTTGTGTTTGCAAAATGTTTAGAGAGAATGAAGAAGAACAAAGTTCAGTGTTTCAAACGTGATTTCTCTTTCTCTTTTCTCTCTGATTTCTTACTTGATTCCAAATAATCAGTACTGTATAATCTGTAGTGAAGAAGGTGCACTTGACAAAGAACAGATTTTTAGAAAGTAGCTTCTACTCAGCTAAGCTGGAGATAATTTAAAAACACACATGCACAGAATAAAAACAGTAAAATCCAAACTGGATGATGTTTACTAACAGTTAGATGGTAGATGTTATAGAGCTTATATAAAATTCATTTTTTCCGAGTACAGTGGTACCTTGGCTCATAAACTTAATCCATTCCAGGACTCTGGTCGTGACCCAAATTGGTTGTGAGCCAAGTTCAATTTCCCCATAAGGTTCTGTTCTGTAACTTTTTTTTTTAATCAGAAAAATGTGAAGCAAAGTGACAAAGAACAACTAAGATCGTGGCCATCTCCCCCACCCCCTCACGAGCAGGAGCGTGGCCATCTCCCCTCCTCCCAGCACGACCGGGATCACGCCCGTCATCCCAGCACAAGGCCATCATCTGGGTGCACTGTGGTGGGAAAGATAGGCACAAACGTGGATGCGCTGGGAGGGGGGAGAGATGGGCGGGAACGTAGGTGCACTCGGGTAGACAGGCGCGATCGTGCTGGAGGGGGGAGATGGCTGAGATCGCGGTTGCGCTCATGCAGGAAAGCCTGGCGCAATCTTGGCCATCCCCCCCCACCCCTAGCACGATCGCGGCCATCTCCCCGCTTGGGAGGATGGGTGGGTGGCCACGATCGCGGTTGCCACCCAATGCAGAGTTCGCGACCTGAGTAAATTTTTTAATGAAATTTTTGTTCGCAACCCGGTTTGGTCGTGAACTGAGGTGTTCGTGAGCTGAGGTACCACTGTAATGGAAAGTCTGGTAGAAAAAAAATGCGTTGGTAATTTTCCTCCTGTTGCTTAAATTCTTTTATGTAACTTCCAAATAAATTTTAAAAAGTCACAATGTTGCTACAGCAAAATACGTATAGACAAAATATTTGAGTTTTGTGGATGTGAATGCTGATTTTGAGCACACTGGGTTGGATCCAGATGTAGATCAGCTGAAATAATGGAAGAATTAATTTATTACTAAATTTCAGTAGGACTTCGGTAAGCATAAATATGTTTGGATCCAACATGGACAGCCATTTTATAATCGCTTTCAAAACATTTCTATATAAAATTACAAAGTTGGTTTGCAACAATTTTTTCCCAACACCCTTGATCAGGACAGTGTTACTGAATACACTTGATTACAGTGTAATGAATGTGAAATTAATACACTTTGCCAGTTACACTTTACTGAGCTGCATACCCACAGGACATATTAAAGCATGTAATTAAATATGAAAACAGTTAATTCCACAGTAACCAGGGATGGTTGTGCTGGGACAATGTGTACATGTTTATGGACACTGGGCATCTACTCATCCGCAACAAATCAAAATGTGTTCCTGAAGCCATAACTGAAACTGAGAGTGGAAGTCCCTGAAAAAAATGATAATGGTATTTATAAGGCAAAGCAGCCAAATGAATGAGAAATGAATGAGAATATTATGGAAAAGAAGAATGTTTCCTTGTAACTTTACAATAGTTCCACTACTGAAGGTTAATTAGGCTTATGAGACTCCTTCCAGTATAAGAGGGCACAGAGAGCACAAACTAAGTCTGTGACCAAAATTTCACTTTGGGAGCACTTCTTCTGGAGGTAAGAATTGCCTTTGCCATGGACCTCCATTTTGAAAGCGTAATTTGAGTAGTGTTCTGATCCATAAATGGAGTGACACCATGCCATAGTGCATCTCCTGTTTAGTGATTCCTCTTGAATTAATCTATTAGGCATGGGGTCACTGCACAAAATCTTCAGGTATTTTGTGAGCATTCTTATTTGCTGATACAGCAATTATCAACAGTTTGCTTAATTTATCAGAGCCAAAAGTTTAAAAGCAATAGTTTTCTCAGGTTAAGTAAAATTGAAACTGGGCAAAGTGTGATATATAACTGCTTGTGCCAATATGTATTCAGATTTACTTTATAAATGTAAAAGCAATTTTTGCTCAATGCAATTTGAGAATGGGTTCAGTGGCTGAGTTTGTACAGCATATGGGAATTTTAACTATGCACTATGGTTAAAATTTCTTGTGGCTGACAGATGATCAGGCTCAGCAGGGGTTGTGTGCCTTCTTCTCTCTCCTTCCCCAACCCCAATGCTCCTCCAGTATCCTAGGGGCACTGCAAAAGCACCAAGTTATCTCCTGAACTGTGGCAAGCCATTTAGTGTTGGTCACAACTGTTTGAATTTTAATAAAGGTGCCGCTGTGTTATGTACACTTGAGAAAGTGAGGGCAGCTCAAGGCCACATGAAATCCCCCATCCCCACCTGAAGATTCTACTGCAAAGGATTTTCTCCTTCTGTCCCACACTGTATTTAAAAAAAAAAAAAGCTAACAGTTGAAAAAAGGTTGCAATTTGGCATGGATGCTTATCTGCATGTACCAAGAGTCAGTGCTGTATTGCAACTCACTGGTGACTATTTTTAACTATGTTTTTAAATGTGGATAACACAGAGGCACAAGGACCATTCTAAACAAAAAAAGAAAAACAAAACCTTCAAGAACCTGTAAAATAGATTGTTTGGGGAGAGACCCCTCAATTCCAAGCAAGATCCCCTGAATTGTGGTTCTGGGAAGTCTCAACTGTCTCCCCAGCTTTGCAAGTTGCAATGAACAAATAGAACCTTGGGAAATGGCAAAAAGTGGGGTAAGTGTGAGGCATGTAATTTAGAGAGATAAGCATTGGGTTTCCCCAAATTTTGAAGTATCCTCCTGCTGCTAGCAGGTGGAGAAATTCTTTTCCAGCTGTCCACGAGGACTGTTTTGGCTTTTTGGAGTGCCTAGGAAAGGTGGTTACTAGCTAGCCCATTTCTGCCACTCTTGCCAAGGGTCTTTGCTTGTTTATTTGGCCATGGTTTAATTTTGTGAGTTCAGACAACACAGTAAACCATGGTGGTTTATTGAACCCTAGAAAAGGCATGGCTAGTTTGGGTGGTTTATTTCAATCTATTTTGTGCCCTATCAGAGGTCCTTGTGCCATATGATCCTTGTACAAGACACCAGTTACCCTTGAGCAGATGGCCCATGACCTTTTGGTGTTCAAAAGAAACCCCTAACCCTAACCCAAATATCCCCCCACCTCATCTGGGGGAAGAAATGTATTAATAAAATAAGCTGTTGGTTTGATGACCTTAACTGGTCCCTTACCTTGTCTAATGGTAGGACTGGCTGGTTGTGAGGGGATAAAGGGCTTGGAGAGAGGCAATGCTCACAGTAGTTGGAAGTGGCAAATGAATATTTGCATATGACTAAAATATGCTTTATTCCTAGGTAAAGTGGATGATGTATTGGATCATATTTGCACTCTTCACAACAGCGGAGACGTTCACAGACATTTTTCTTTGCTGGTTTGTATTGTTTCCTCCTCCTTTCACTCACAAATCAAACTAGGGAGATAAAAATGTTTTTGAAGGCACAAAGATATTATTAAGCGTATTATTGGTTGTAACATCAGGGTCATGGAATATTTGTCTTGAAAACTGGGACTTTCATTTTTCCAAAATTCTACATTTGGGGCGTATAGTGGTGGTGGGGAGAGGAAATAAGGTATCAGTAGGAGGGGAAATACTTTGCTAGGAAAACAGCTGCGGTGGGTTTAATACAAGGTGCCCACTGCTGTGAATGGAAAGCCATGAATCCAGCTGCCACACCCTCCTCTCATGTTTGTAGAGACAAGCACTCAGCGAGTTAAAGGCAAGGCAAAATCTCCTCCTCCTCCTGCCCCCAAGTGCTGTCATGCACTGAGCAGTATGACTTCTTTCTGCATCTGAGGCTGAGAGGAAACCCATGGAGAATAACTAAAACTATGTCTGAAGGCTTGAGAAATGGGAAAGGAACAGAGATGATACAAAACATGTACAGGGGGCAGGACAGAAATACGCTTTCTTTCCCACCATCAAAATATGTTGGGCAGCAAGCTCGGCAACATTGCCTAATGATGGTGGTCTGCTGCCTCCTGTGGGGGTTCTGTTGGCACCAAGGCAGTGCTGGCTGTGTGTAAAGAAGCCAGTGCCAGCCAAATTGCTGAGGAGCAGCAGCCCATCACCTAGAGGTCTGCAGCCTCCCTGATTGTTGCTGATAGCAGCTGGAAGTTTTTTCTTCCTCCTGTTCAGTCCAGTCATACATCATCCCTGTGAGTAACTAGTAGCCTTTGTCAGGGAATTGGGAAGGACCCCAGGGAAGGTGTCCCAAGAAGAAACAGGAAGGCGGGCCACAGCAATGACTTGAACTTCATAGATTTGCGTCTGCATGGTGGCCAAAGCCAGAGTTCCTTTCCTGCCAAAGGAACATTATACTTGCATGCATTAGCATATATGCCCAAAACTAGTAAATAAGGCTTGAGTTGGGGGTTTGTGAAAGGGATACTTATCCTACCTTCCAACACAACTGGAGCTGAAAAAGGCACAGATAGGTCTACTAGAATAGGAAGTGCCCCAAGGAGGAGAACATGGAGATGAAAATGCTTGGATGACAGAATGGAATATAAGGAAATGGTTCTTGCAGAAGGAAGCAGAAAAAGTCACCATCATGGCTATTATATTCCACTTTTCCTCTTGTTCCCTGTTTAAAGATTCTACCATCTAGCTTATGGCATGTTGATGTAATGCAAGCAGTTTGTCAAGTAGCTGCAAGCTGAACTAACTAGCTTCCTGTTCATACAAAGATTGAGAATAAAGAGCTACATGCAGAAGATAATTATTAATGTTAGGTGCCATCAAGTTGTCTCTGACAAATGGCAACCCTATAAATGAAAGCCCTTCAAAATGCTCCATAACATCCCTGTTTAGCTGTGCTGAATTCAAAGCTGTGGCTTCCTTATGGATTCAATCTGTCTTATATCTGGTCTTCCTTTTCATCTGCCCCCAACTTTCCCTAACATGATTGTCTTCTCTAGTGGGTCTTGCGTTCTCATGATGTGCTCAAAGTATGACAGCCTCAGTTTTGTCATTTTTGCTTCTATGGAAAGCTCTGGCTTAATTTGATCTAGGGCCCTCTTGCTTGTCTTTTGGTCCAGGGAATTTGTTCATTGCCCTCCTAAACCTTGCTTTAAAATAAGACAGTATAAAATCCCCCAAATTGCTTATTAATTTTAGCATTAAAGTGTCTTAGTTTGTGCTGAACATATGTGCAGGTTCCCAGGGAAAAAAACGAAAGTAAACTGAAACAATGTGCCAAAGTAAAGATGGAAACTTGGCTGTACTGGGCAGGCGCTAGTGCCACTCTGCTTGGGAATTGATGTCTTACAGAGAGTCTCTGCGTCACATACCAAAATGGAATGGGGAAGGTGGACTGCTTACACTTGGATTTGTTCCTTCTATGGCTAAATATGTTGGGGAAGGTGGAGGGTGGATCCCAGCCCTGGTTCTGTCTCCCAAGTGCTGTCACTAGAAATGTAAATGAAAGTGAAGATGGCATGTTTCCACTGACTTGTTTTACATCTTGCTGCATGGCAGGGCTGCAAGTGTAGCCTTTGCATGGAAGAAAACTACAGCTGAAATGTGAAATGCAGTGGTGTCTTTTGTCATCACTGTTGGCGCATTTGGATTATTGAGAAAAAGACTGGAGCTGTGAGAAATTGCAAGCTTTTTTGTCATCTGAATTGGAATATGAAGCAGTTTGAATAGATGAATTAACTTTTTGGACAGCTTAAAAGCTACTGAATCTAACAAAATTAAACAGAAGTTAGAGGATTTGATTATTTCCTGTTCTTGTGTTTTCAGGTAGCTGACTTAAGAGTTACAAAGTCCTGCCCCCTTCAGAAGATAGCACAACAATGCTATTTTCTGTTTGCTTCCTTGCCAGCTTCCAAAGGTTCTTCCCGCACCTTTTCAGTTTTGTTGGCATCACTAAGGAGGAGGGTGATGGCACCAGAAAGATGTGGCCTTCCAAGCATGAAAAGAGGCACTATAGGAACCCTCTATAGTTTTAGGATGTTCATATTTCAAAACCAATGTAGTATATTCTTCATTATTTATATCTGTATAATGGTCTTCTTTGCTGTCTCTGTGCATCACACATATGGGATCTGCACCTGCATGGAGCCTATTGTCAGGAAGATTTCCAAGCTGGACTAGTTCTGGTGGGAACCCCTCCCCTTCCACCCCCTGGTATATCTAGGAGAGGTTCCTGCCCTTTTCCCCGGTTCTCTTCCAGCTGCCATTGTGGGTGTCTCAAGACTTTCCTCTTCAGTATTTGCCTTTTGCCTTGTCTTCTCTCATGCTTTCTAGTTTCTCATTTGATGTCTGCTTTACTATATTTCCAGTTTTACCCTACTTTAACCCTAATCCTTTCCAAATAACAAATAAAGACCCTCCTGTGGTCCATGTGTCCCACATTTCATTTCTCTAGCTTCTTTTCTTTCTGATTGCACTTAGGGCATCGTTTTGGAACTGTTTTTGCGGTAGGAGCCCTCCTCCTCCCATGGATAGACACTCACTGTGCCTCTTCTGTCTCTGAGGGGGGCACCTTGTGAAAGCCTGCACACATCGCCAGACTTTCACTAAGCAAGCCCAGAAGAACTGAGCTGGGCATCTCAAGGCCAAGCTATGGAGCTGTGCCCTTCAGGCCACCAATTCAGCCTTGGCAGCACCATCAGACTGCCAGCCTACTACCGAGGGCATGCTGGCTTCACACATGCTGTCCACAGCTACAGGGGCATCTTTTACTGGGCCATCTGTCCCATCTACCCCTGGGTGCTCCGATGTAGCTTGCCAGGCTTGGAAGGTGGCCAAAAGGCCAAAAAGATGGCAGACTTGGGGAAGGCCAAACATAAAAAGAGGTATAGATGCCATTCTCCATGAGCATAGAGCATGCTTGTACCGGGACTGGAGCCAATGCCACCAAGACCCACTCCTGTGATGGAACCGATTTCAGTGCAGTTGATTTCGGAGGGTAAGATCTGGGACTCACCACCCATCACTCCAGCACAGCCTCCTTCTGTGATCTCCCCAGCTAGGATACTGTTCTGTTCTCAGCAGAGCACTACCAGCTGTGCTACCATCTTCTTGCCTGGCCACTGCTCTCTCTTCACACCAGGGCACCAGTTATTCACCAACACCATATCATGTCTTCAACCATTGGACCCATGATTGTTCCAAGTTTCCACTATCTTCTTGGGACTGAGAGGTGGCCTGTTTGCCCCACCATACCATTGGCAGTATTGAGAGGAGAGCAGGCTTGTGGACCCATGGATGCTGTTGCTCCTGAAGAGCCACCTTTGGGAGGTCTTGGGCTGTTGGCTGGAGAAACAGAGCAGGGTGTTGATCCTCCCTATCCTTGACCTACAGAATGTCAACTTCTTAATCCCATTGAAAAAGTTCTGCATGCTCTCATTATCTAACTTTTACCATTACTGTGCTGAGGGGACTGGTTCACCTTGATGGACATACTTTCATGTCACAATCCTTCCACAGCATTTTCTCTGGTTACAAAGTCAGCTTGGCTGTGTATTAGTTTTCAGCGCTTCCATTACATGTCTATACATGGCTTCTTAGTTCTTCACCAAGTGTATGGCTGTTGGGTGTGCTTATCTCCAGTTACAAGGACTCCAGGTTTTTCCTGATTTGAATGACTCGTTGCTGGTCGCCCCATCCTGAAATGAACTTGTTATTGAACTTGAAGGTCCATGGTACTTGTGACACACTTGGTCTTTGCCTTAACTGTGCAGAATCTATCCTCTCTCCTTTGCAGTCAATCCTCTACACTGGGGCAAGACTCAACATGTTCATGGCATGTGTTTACCTACCAGTTGACAGAGCAATGGCTTTGGTCAAACTTTCTTCACAGTCCATGTCACTAACGTCCCTTACCACCCAGCTATGGTACATAGAAAGGGGCATTGCCCTGTTTGCTATCCACCTGGCAGGGACAATCAGTCTCACCACAGATGCACTGAGGAGGCAGACCAAGGGAACCCAAGAATGGGAGCTGGATCCTGATATCACTCAGTTCTTCCAGAACTGGGGCACACCCTCTTTGCAACTCTGAGCAATCCAGTATGCAGCAGCTTCTGGTCCTGGGCTGGGATTGGCCCAGGTTTGATGGGGAATGTGTTCCTTCTCCATTGAAACAGGATTCTGTTTTATTTATTTCCACTGTCCTCACTTATTACCCAGAGTGCTGGAAAAAATATGGCAAGATGGGACATTGTGCATCCTGATGTGTGATGGTTCACACATCTCCTTTGCCTGTCCAAGAGAACTTAATAGAACCCCTGTTGAGACTGAACATCATCTCTCTGGACTGAGGGATGATCCTGCATCCAGATGTTGATACCCTCTGCTCATGGCTTGGAGGACTGGCTAGCAAATAGGGCAGCCCTTCGTTATCCCAAGTTACAGGTGATCCTGGATGCAGCCCTGTGACTGGTTGCAAGGCATTCGTACAAGGTTAAATGGAACACCTTGCCAGTTTTGCCCAGCCCAACAAGAAGCTTTTGATCTGCACCAGGCAACTGTTGACCAAATCCTTGGCATCCTCCATATATAACATACCAGAGGGCTGAAACCACTGTTCATGAAAGCTTACTGTCAGGATCCTAGGCAGCATCAGGGCTTCATCTGCTGGCCAAGCACCAGAAGAGCAGCCGTGGTAGTTGCAGGATTATCTACTGCAGCTGTCAGGGCTCTCATGAGCACCACCTGGGGGCCCTGGGGGAAGAGCTATATAAGAACTGGATCCTCCCTCCCATTACTGCCTCATCAGTGAAGTTGTGTAGAGTGGCTACAGTGTTCCTTGCTTGTTGTGACCTGTATTCTTGGCCCCGGCCCTGGCCCCTAAGTACCTGCTGCTGTTGTTGCATTGCTTCTTTGGTTTTTTGCTAGCTTGCTGGACTACACTTTTGCCTTTTGGACTGGACTTACCTTTTCTTCTGCTCCTGTCACTGACCTTGGACTGTTGGATAAAGATTTGGATTTGTTTGGAATTGGACTTTGGACTCCAGCCTACTTACCTGGGTCTTGGTGCCCTGTCGGTTAGTCAGCTGCCCACACCCCAGATGCTGACATGTACCTGACAGCAATACCATTGTTCTACCTATCAGTGAAGGGTTTTTCGGTCTTCTTCCTTCCATTATCCTGCTGGTTCTTGAAGGGACTGTAGAACCTTGTCTCATAGCCCCATTCATTTGTTGGTGTGACAAGGTCTTATGAAGCCACCCTTCAAGCCTCTGGCCACTGTGAACTTGTGACTCCTTTCCTGGAAGGTTGCCTTTGTTGTGACAGTCATATCAGTGATCCTTGTGCATCAGTCAATCCTTCCTCTTCATCCACAAGGGCAAGGTGTCCTCTGGCTGGACCCCCGTTTCTCTTTAAGGTGGCATTACCCTTTCGTCTGAACAAGAACACTGTTCTACCAGCCTTCCCCCCAGTGTCATCAAGCATAGTAGAATCCACCCTGCACAGTCCCGTGTTGAGTCTTTTTGCCAGTCCCAGGGACTATTTGCATGTTATGGTAGCAAAGAGTCCAGAGACAAGCTGGTTATCCCTGAATGGATTGCACACTGAGTAGTCGAGGCCATCATGTTGGCTTACCAGCTGTCTGGACTGCAGCTTCTTGAGCAGCCTAGAGGGTACTCTGCCAGGGCAATGGCAACCCCTACAGCAGTGCATGCCAGCATCCCTCTGCAGAACAGTGATGTGGTCTCCTCCATCAGCTTTCATCTGGCACCACAGGCTTGACATTTGCACTGGGCAAAACTGCTTCTTCAGCAGAGCGGTCCTGTCCTCAGGTCCTCTGCTGACAACACCAGCCCACCCGCAACTTGAGGCAATTTTGTGTGTGATGCACAGAGACTATGGAGAAGAGAGTTAGGTTGCTTACCTGTAACTATCATACTTCAAGTAGTCATTTGCATTCTCACAACCCACCCACCAAACCTGCATATGTGCCAGCCAGCTTCAGTACCATGCCTTCCCTACAGTCCCGTATCCATTTCATACATATCAGCCATTTACTGGCTTCCTCTCATTTCCAAGGCCACAATGTCAATCTTGAACTGGGAAAAAGGGCAGGAACATTACCTAGATATACCTGGGTATAGAAGGGGTTTCCATCAGAACATGTCTAGCTTGGAAATCTTTCTGACAACAGGTCCTGTTCAGGCACAGAGTTCATCTGTGTGAATGCACAGATGACCACTGAAAGAATGACTGTTACAGATTCCATCCTTGCTTACATGAAAACACTGTAGTTACAAAGAGTTTGGTCAGGGAGAGTTGCAGGAAGAGGCTCCTATATCTCTTTTACAGGTCAACATGTCCTTTTGCTTTCCTGTAGGTTTCCATTTTATTATGAACTCAAAATAGCTTTTGTAGCTTGGTTGTTGTCTCCATACACAAAGGGCTCCAGCCTCCTATACAGGAAATTTGTGCATCCAACACTGTCTTCAAAAGAGAAGGTAATTGCAAATTCTGATTAATTCAGACAAGGATTATTGCAGAGGAAGAATAATTTAGGTGCTTTCTGTGTTGGCTGTAGCTTCAAAGTTGCAAGTGCAACTTGGGAGCCGGTACAATGGAGGGGGGCATTCCAGGGTGAGGAGATGAGCCAGGCTCTGGTGGGATAACAAGTGCCCGGCAGTGCCTCAGCTACTGCTCCTCTTGAATATGGACAAAATACTTAGATGGCTGAAATTGACCATCTAAATGTTTCAGAGGGCGAGTGCCTATGTACTCCCCCCCCCCACTGCATTGGCTGCTGCCCTAAATAGTTAACAAAACAAAATAAAAATTGTTGTGCAGAATCAAAAGAACCATCTGTTTATTTTTATTTATTTAAAGTTTTTCTATGTCGTCCCAATGCTAAAAGTCTCTGGACAGCTTACAAAAAGCAAAAAACCAACAGTTCCCATCAGTTCTAGCCAGCGTAGACAATGGTGAGGGATCATGGAAGTTGTAGGCCAAAACTTGGGGACCGTCTCAAGCTACACACTCATGTTGTGAGCCGCCCAGAGGTGCCGTGGCACAATTGGGCGGCATACAATAGTTTTAAATAAATAAATAAATGACTCTGTTGTTCTTCAGAGGGCAGCCAGCTAGATGTGTGTGAAAGCTCACAAGGAGGATTATGAAAATGATGGCCTCCCTCTGTCTGTCATCAGCACAGGATATTCAAAGAGAGCCTTCCTCTGTAATGGGCTTGCCTAACAGCCATGGGAGTCTAAACTTTTAGTCAAAAGGGCAGACTGAAGCCTTATCTGCCCAATTTACTACTACATTTTGTTGTTTCAGTAAGAGAAAGGAGGAAGATTCAGCTCCCATCCCCTGCATCATGCTTCCAGTAGAAAGATTTAATTGCTCCTACACTTCAGTTAGAAAAGCATCTGAATAAATAGGCACTGGTTAACCCTTCTGCAACTGGCTTGATACAGAATCGCTATCCTTAAAGTGGCTAAGGTCAGGGAATGCAAAGGTAGTTAAGAAGAACTTGAAAGTTTATTCCTTTTCTTGAGTAGTAAGCCAATGAAGACAGATGTGCAATACTTTGAACTCTCTTTTTGAACATGATTATGCGTGTGTGTTTTTCTTTTGTGACAGGAAATAGATGACTGCCTTGTCCAAGCAAAAGATAAAAGCTATGATGCCTTGGTACATTTTGGGAAGCGGGGACTAAACGTTGCAGCCACAGCTGCTGTGATGGCAGCTTCCAAGGTAGGACAATACAGCATATGGTGGTTACATTAACATTGTAATTAAATGTTGTTTATAGTAATCATTGCCCTGTACATAATGCTCAGAGTAGAATGTTTGGAACACTTTCATTGTTGACATATAGTTCTCTCATGATTCGCTAACACAAGCAACTGGGAGTTACATTCAGAGATCTTACTTGCTGATATTTTGAAATAGCTGGTGGCAAATTTTGGCAGGAAGAATGTGGAGGCGAAGATTCTCTCCACTGCTTCTTCCACTATACCAGGGGTTGGCAACCTTTAACACTCAAGAGCCATTTGGACCTGTTTCCCACAGAAAACACCAGGAGCCGCAAAACCCTTTTGACTGCTAAAACGAAGATAACACTGCATATATAGTTTTTTTACCTTTATGTTATGTATAAAAAAACCTATAGTGTGTTGCATTTATGAAATCAATGAACTGCTACAGAGAAAACAAATTTTTATTTCTGCATGCAACAAAAACATTTTGAATTCGGAAAAAAAAGATGCTGGGTTGAAGGTTACTTTCAAATAAAATACTCAATGTCTATTGGAATCCTCCTCATATTTATGAAATAAAAAGCCAAACTTAAATTATCCACCTGCAGCAAACCAAACATGCCCTCTGCTTCTGTGTGCCCTCATCCTTTTATCACATGTACTGGAGGGTGCAGTCAGCTGTCAATCTGAATAAAAAAGGACTAATTGATTCTTTCATACAGTAAGTCGAGTTTCTGCAATGCAACAAATATAAATAATAGTCTGGTGAAATATTGAACAAACATCCCTCTCCCAGTGTGATAATGTTGCTGGAATTTTTATAAGAATCTTCTTAAAACAAGGAAGTAGATCTATATCTTCATTATGATTTAGCTGCAGCTCTTGTTCAGTCACTAAAAACTGTTATTTTTAATCTTACATTATAAAATAGTAGGACTCCTTTCATATGTTTTGAATAGGAGAACAGCTTTCATTAAACGTATCATTAAACATTCGGTTTTCTTCAGAAACTTTTCTTCGATTTATCTATGGTTGGCCTACGGGGGGGGGGGGGGGCTCAGTAAATTGGTGTGGGTCGCAGATATAGGTGTGTTTAGTGACTGATTAGCAAATAAACAGTCAAGTGATGTGAATTGTAACAGGTCCCAAGCACAGCTTTTAACATTCAGAGGAAGGAGATTGCATTTGGACAAAGAATCTTTTCAGCAGTGTTTTGTGTAACATGAGAGCCTGCAGGAAGCTTGTTCCACTCTTTCCCTGCACACTAGCAGAGGAATGTCACAATTTACTTAACCCACTCGTCCAGCATTCCTGTGTGGATGCCTCATCATCACCTATTGGTATTTTGTAACTCGGAGCCTCGGTCGCAGATCAGCGGCTGTGGCGGCATGTGTCGCTGGCGTGGGTCGCAGATTGGCGGCTATGATGCATATTTTGAGTGACGGAGCCACAGCAGAGGGATTCAAGAGCCACGTGCAGCTCCGGAGCCACAGGTTGCTGACCCCTGCAATATACATTGGATGCATGTGAGCATCTGAATTCAGAGGTTCTCTCTGTGTTGGATTTCATGCACCCTTCACTTTTTAGAGTTGGGATAGTTGTATGGTTGTTTAAACTGCTTACCCATAGAGGGGGTTTAAGATTATAACTATATTTTATTCTTTATTACAGTAAATGTATTAGAATTATTTATTTACTTAGTTATTACAATTAAGTATAAAATTCTGGTCATGAAATGGCTCCCCATGGTTATCTAGCATTTTAAAAAATGTTCTGAGCAATTTTTACAAATATCTCCAGAATTCTTCTTCAATATTTAACCTGCAGTTGCACTACTGTGAACTTTCACAGTTGTGAGATTGAGGATCCTCAAGTGGGCAATATGCAGGGAGGTGCTTGCTGACAAAGTCCACCAGGTGCCCACCCTTGGAACTGTCCACACAGTCTGTAGGTAAGTTTATTATTTTCTTTAGTTACATCAACAGCTGCCAGAAGGCAAGCTGTGAAATGTAATCAAAGATGCAAATAATGTTTGCTTTTGAAAAGGACCGAAACCTTGTTCAGTTTCTCCATGGCAAAATCACAGGGTTGAGGGGAATCATGTCTCAAGGTTTTGTACTTGTTTCTGAGATTCTGCTATCTCAGAAACTTGCAGAATTGCAGACCACCCCATTTGTAGGACTTCAGCAGCTGTCATAGCACAATTTAAAAAGTGAGATTTACAAAAGTTAAAGGGGTTTTTTTTTTTGGCAGGGAACTATATACCAGTATTGGGGTCCTTGCCACCAAGGGAGTGAATGAGCTGCCACCCACTTTCATGGGTTGAAATCACTCCTGCCTTCAGTTACGTTTTACAGTCCCCCTTTTAACAGCTGTCAGATGTAACCAAAGGGAAAAATAAATATTCCCAGTTGTGCAAGTGCAGGCAAAAATATTTTTTCTGCAAATATTTGTGAAAATTCCTGGGGAGGAAATAAACATGTTGGATAACTGAGATCGGCAACAGAAGCCCTCCTTTAGGAACCCTCTGTGAAAGATGTTAGGAGACAGAATACCCAGAGGAGACCCTCTCTGCGGTGGCACCTCAACTATGGAATGCGCTCCCCAGAGAGGTCCGCCTGGTGCCGTCATTATATGTTTTTCGGCACCAGTTTAAGACCTTTTTATTTAATCAATATTTTAGTAAGTTTTAGTATTGAATTGTATTTTATTAATTGTAGCCAGAGTGGGTCGTCAGTTTATTTATGCTTTTAGCCATCCAGAGACATTAGTAATTGGACGGCATACCAATTTTATAACTAACTAACTAACTAACTAACTAACTAACTAACTAACTAACTAACTAACTGTGGGCACTCTGAAGATACCAAATAGCTGTCAAAAGTGGGATTGTAAAAGCCAGCAAAATGTTGGCTTTTGTAAGGAAAAAGAATAGGGATACAAAGCCACAACATGTCATAAACAGTGTACACTTGTGGTGGGGAGGGCAGAAGCCAATAGTAATGACTTGAACACTTTTGGGACAAGCATGTCTTCATCACTCACTCACAGACCAGCAAATTTCACAGATTCCTTAATCCTTGGACTATCTTGTCACTGAGAAAATGCTCTGCTGTTCAGTGCTGCTAAAACTCCCAGTTCAGGTCCACACTGCACTTTTTGTCACCTGCACAATAAATTTCCCCTCCACCTTGGGCAGCATGGCAGCTAGCCAGTCATGTTGTTCTGTTTCCTTGGCTCCTCCCCTTTATACCATACCTCCCAGGGGAATGCTCCTGTGTCCTTCCTGTTACCATGTAGTCACCTTCCCACTGGTGAGCAGCAGGTCACCTAGCTCTCCAACCCTCAATCCTCCCCCATTGTTTCCTGCTTGTTTGCTTTAGCAGCAAACAAGAGAAAGGGAAAGAGGTGTGGGGAAGGGAATGAGGGGCGGGGGCAGGGCTTTATATGTCAGAATAGGGATAGGAGATCGGGATAGGAGTGTGAGATAGAATTCATCACAGAGGGGGATCTGGTAGAGGCAGTCTGGGTGAACCTAAGGGGTTTTGACAGGGAGAGGAACCTGACAGTGGGGGTATGTTTTCACCCTCCAGGTCAACTTGAGACCCTGGATGATGTCCTGACAGATCAGATTCTAAGGATATCTCAGGGGAAAGACACAATAATTATGGGAGATTTCAGTCTCCCAGATATTAGTTGGGAGACTCACTCAGCAGTGACAGCCAGGTCGTGTCACTTCCTAGATGTGGGGGGCAGGGCACGCGGGCAGGCACTGGCTTAACTCGCTGGACACGGCCTGGGGCAGGAGCCGGACCGGACCCCCCCTCCCTGCAACACCTACCGTGCCGCCGCTGCAACTCCTGCCGCGCCGCCACCACTGCCAAGGCCCATGGTGACCTGAGGCGCACCGCCAAGCCTGAGGGCCAGCTGATGCCATTCCTGCGGCCACCGCTGACCACCCTGGGGAAGGAGGACACCAGGGCCGCCGACCGAGGTCGTGGAGGAGGGCGCCACCATCTCGCCGGCTGGCAGATGGGCTTTCGTGTCCATCTCTGCTCCCCCCCCCGCCAGCGTTGGTGAGAGCAATGCCGGATTGGAGGGCAGGGCATGCGGGCGGGCGCTGGCTTAACTTGCCGGATGTGGCCTGGGGCCGGCGGCCAAAGGGTGGTTGCCGCCGTTTGTGACCGTTCGTGGCCGTACGGGGGCTGGGCTGGTGAGGGACTCTGTTGGTGGGTGGAATTTTTATTGGGGGGGGGTAGATGGGGAGTTTTATATTGTTTTAATATTTTTATTGTATTTTAATCTGTTTTTATGGAGTCATCCCTGGCCACATTGATGGTTGAGCTACCTGGGGAGCACGTGGGCACCGCCATTGGGGTGGTCATGGGCAATGGACGTTACAGCAGTGGGGGTTTAATGTGTCCACATAGAATAAGGAGGGACAGATGGCTGACACCTGTCCCTCCTTCTGGTTCTACCTCCAACCAGAGGGTTCCAGGTAATCTTGTCAACCGCCCCCCGGGCCTGACAGTGCTGTTGCTTAATGCCAGGTTGGTCCACAATAAATTGTCCCTCATCCACGACTTGATTGTGGATGAGGGGGCTGACCTGGCTTGCATAACAGAGACCTGGACGGGAGAGGGGGGGGGATGTCACCCTCTCACAAATGTGCCTGCCCGGGTATCTGGTTCAGCACCGTCCACGCCTGGAGGGAGGGGAGGGGGGTTGCTTTGGTTTACCAAGCCTCCATCTCCCTTGTGGGGCTTCCAGTCCCTTCGAGGCCAGGGCTAGAGTGCCTCTACTTGGTGTTGGGCGACCGAGACAGACTGGGGATTCTGTTGGTGTACCGTGCACCCTTCTGCCCAACAGTCTCCCTGCCTGAGCAGACGGAGATCGTCTCGGACCTGGTGTTGAGGATCCCCAAGATGTTGGTCCTGGGGGACTTCAATCTCCACTCCAAGACTGGTCTGACCGGGGCAGCTCAGGACTTCATGG